TCTATGAACCCCCACCCCCCCCCCCCCCCTCTCCCCACTATTAAATACAAACCAGGAGCAGAGAGTGGCTCCTCAGTCGCTTTCTCCTTAGGAGATGCACAGCCAAACCTGCCGTGCCCACCAGCACCGGGCACCACGTCCCCCACCCCCGAGGACGGCCCCGTGGCGGGGAGGGCTCCCACCTCTCTCAGGAGGCTCTCGTCTGAGGGCTGCGACCTCCGACGTCCTATTGATACTGCGAAGGCCGAAGCGGCCTGGGTCACGGTTCCCATGGGGAGCAGCTCACGGTACGTGAATACAGCAGGATCCTCTCCGGTACCTCCTGTGCCCACCAGCCCTGGGGGCCAGGACCCCCCACCCTGACTTGCCGGGAGTGCTCCAGCTTGTTGCCAAGTGGGAAAATCCCAAAACCAACCTCTTTATTGCTCTTTTGAGGTGGGACGTGCCCCATCCCGTTGTGTGTGCCTGACTGGGCTGACGCACCAAAGGAGCAAGGGGCACAGCCCTGTCCCATGGTGCTGGGGGAACAGCACGGGATTGCCCCCAGCCCCATGGCAGTCACAGCCCCGCAGCAGGGGGACTTTGTCCTCGGCATACAAGGAACAGGGCAGCCCATCGCCTCCCCAGAGGACAGCAGGGCCAGGACTGAGGGATGGGGCCAGTAGCCAGCAGTTATGGGGTGAGGATCCAGATGTTCCAGCTTGCAGCTCAGAGAATCCGACCCCACTTCCCCCCGGGGTCTGCACAGCCACGGCCATGCTGAGAAGACCCAGGCACCCCAGGCTGGCAGACCCCGACCCCAGCAGCCCCAGTGGGGCAAGTCACGAGCTTGGGCACCAGCAATCCCTGCAGCAGCCGGGAAGAGGAAGACAGATTTGGGCAACAGAAGATGTGGGTCAGGCAGGGCAGGGCAGGGCCAGCCCCTGTGCACTCCATGGTTCAGGTGCTGTTCCCCTGCTCCTGCTCAAAAAGCACCATAGCCAGCTGGGAGCGAGAGCCCACGCCCTCCAGGCTGCTCTGCATGCAGCGGTGGTAGATCTCCTCACTGAGCCGGGGGTTGCAGGCCTGGTGCCGGTAGTGCTGCAGCAGGGCAGGCTCCACAGCCCGGAAGACGTGGAGGTTGGAGTATTTGATGAACATGTCGTAGATGTCCAGGGTCTCCAGGATGTCCTCGTTCTCCTGCACGTCACCCGCCATGCGGGTGCGTGCTGCCATGTAGTCGGCGTTGTAGAAGCAGGCTTCGTGGAAGACGTCGCGGTCAAAGCGCCCCGCATCCCGCAGCAGGTCCAGCGTGGTGGGTGGCACCTGGTTGTGGTAAGCGCGGGCGGGGTTGTAACCCTGGAAGTGGATGGGGAAGAAGACCTGCCAGTTGTTGATGGTGTTCATCCGGCAGCGGGTCAGGAAGTCGACGGCCCCCCCCCCAGCCACAAAGAAAAGCGTGTCCACAGGATGCTTCTTGGAGATGATGTCCATGACCTTGATTTGGGAGGGTGCGTCCGTCTTAACGCTGATCCACGGGATCTTCACCTCTGTGTACTTGCGCTCGTACTCGGTGATCTGGGCCTTCACGGGGGCGAAGATGTCATTCTGGGTGACCTGCTGGGCCTCGAAGGGGTCATAAATGAAGAGGAAGGTGAGCACTGCGTTCTCACTGCTCTCAAAGGCGGCCGCTGCATAAGCCTCCAAAAAGCGTGCAGCGTGGTCCCGGTCATGGGCCGTCAGCGGCAGGATGACATTGATGCGGCTGGCCTCCGTCACGTAGGGCATGGGGATGATCTCCACCTCGCTGAGGGGCCGCACCAGGTGCACACGCTTGGTGATGGAGCGGCTGTGCCCCTTCTGGGTGACCACCTCCACCTGCAGGTCCAGCGTGTACTCCATGCCACGTGTGGGGTCGAAGCGCCGGTACCCGTTCACCAGCTGCTGCTTGTGGACATGG